CCTTCCTTCCCCAGGTCCCCAGCTCCCACCCCTCTTTCTCGCAGGACAGGAAGAGCCTGGTGCCCAAAGCAAGCAGAGCAGAAACCACCCCAAACCTCCTTCCCGCAGCCTGGGCACCTGGCATGATCCTTCCAGACCCAGCAGGTTCTAGGTCCTTCCTCGGCCGGCCTGGGTGGGCTATGAGTTTCTGCAAGAGCGTGAGTCCCTGCAGGCCTCCGGCGGGAAGCCAGGAGGCCAGCCCTGACAGCTCAGTGCGGTGGGGGGAGGGGGACCCACTGCACAACAGGGCAGCCCCTCCTGTGGCTCGCCGAAAGCCCTGTTCACGTCTGCAGGCATCAGGTGCATTTCCCAGTCTGCAGGCATCAGGTGCATTTCCCAGGGAAGGGAGGGACCACGCAGGGCAGGTGCTGAGCGGTGCTGAGCGGTGCTGAGGTCCCCAGCGGTGCTGAGCGGTGCTGTGGGCCGGGAACATGGCACACACGCACAGCCCCGGTGTGGAAAGCCCAGATGCCGAGCCTCGGGGAGCTCTGGGGCTGGCCAGGGTGCGTGTGACCCTACATGTCACCGAGGGGGAGACCGAGGACCCGAGCGGGACGCAGCTCACCCACGGCCACTCTGCGGGGCGGAGGCTGTTCCCTGTTCACTACGTGTCCAGGCCACCCGACCCTGTACTGGCCCCTGGGGACAGGACCCTGCACAGACAAGCCCAAGGAGCCGGGAAGCAGAGAAGTGGGGGTCGAGCCCAGGGGACAGCCCAGCAGATCCTGCTACTCCACACTCCTGGGACTTTGGGGAAATTATCTAAGCTGAGCCCAAGCTTCCATGTGTACAAAGATGGCATGTTAGCGCCCACATCTGAGGGCTCACATGAGAGTAGCTGTCGCCCCTTGGGCACGGCTCGGAGCAGAGCTCACCCCCCACACATGCTCTCTGATCGCCGACTTAGAGAGGCCAGCTCACACTGCGGCCACAGCAGGCACCAGGGCCTCCCAGAGAAGACAGCTGAGCCTAGGAGAAAGGAGGGGGCATCCAGGGCCCAGGGCTGCCCCAGCCAGAGGGGAGGTAGGTAGACAAAGGCTGATTTGGCAAAGGAGCGAAGTCGGTGCCACGGGGGCGGAGTCAGGGCAGAGACAGGACAGCAGAAGCCAAGGCAGGAATTGCTGGGCACCTGCACCCCGAGCCCTGGCATGGAGAGGCGAGGACATGTGAGCAGAGGCCTTCGGGCCACAAGCCAGGTGGCCTCAGGGCTGCCGGCCTTCCCCACGTAGAGAGCCCAGGTCAGAGCTCTGCAGGACCAGGTCACTGCAGCACCATGCAGGAGAGCACACCTTTCCTCTTTCTGTGGCTGCCCCAAACCGCCATGGGTGGGGAAGGGGGCCTTGCTCTGTCCCCCGGCCCCCCTGTGCAGTCCCTAGGGCCTGGTCCCTGCTCTCCGTAAACTGAGGCAGAGCCAGAGCAGCTCTCACCAGGGAAAGAGCTCCAGGCAGGACGGGCCAGAGCAGACAGTCACATCCCCCAGAGTCAGTGCCAGGGGCCAGCTGGTCCCCGAGATGAACTTTGGGGCAGCCCTGTCTTCTCTGGCCTCAGTGAGACCAGAGGCTCTGGACACCCCAAAGAGCCCGGGCCGGGCCCATCCTCACTGCAGGCCCTGGCCGCCCGCCGGGCTTCTCTGAGCGCAACCAGTGGACAGTCCCCACTGCCCGAGCAAGGCTGTGCGGGCCAGGGGCCGTCCGTGAGGACCAAGGCGACAGCCTTGGCCACTAAGAACCTGGAAGAGCGCACAGGGCAGCCCCTGAGGCCTCGCTCTGCCTCGGGATACCCCTCCCCCAGGCGCTCCACTGCCCACTGCCCAGCTCCCCCTGTGTATCGTGCTTGTGTTCCGGGAGGCCCAGGATGCCAGCAGCCCTGGAAAATCCTGTGCGTGCCAGGGTGGGGGCCATCCGATTTCCCCTTTCAGCCTCTGGCATAGATTTCGGTTCCCACCTCCCAATGCCCCACCCAGGTCTCCTGCCCGTCTCCCCGGCTGGCCGGCCCACATTCACCACGCCTGGCCTCTCCCCCTCCCTTCTGTCCGTGCAAGCTGCCAGCCTCCCTGCCTCCCTCCTTCCCTGTCTCTCTGACTCCACAGCCTGACTCAGGGGGGCCCCCCGCCAGTGTACCCTGAGCTCTCAGAAGAGGCCCTGGGCCTTCGCTGTCCATCGAGGCTGGGGCGACCCAGCCCTCTCCACGTTCCCTTCTGACTCAGCTCCTAACTGGCAAGTGCCTGGTGTTGGTGCTGCCTGCTTCCCACACCTCCAGACACACCCACCTCATGCCCACTCAGGTGTTGACATCAAGGGAGCCCTGAGCAGGTCCTCCCGGGAGGCTGTGCGAGTCCTCAGAGGCCTGGACACTGCACCCAGCTCCACCCTCGGCACCGGGAAGCGCCCCTGCAAGGGAGCTGGCCCTGGCTACTCAGCCAACGCCCGTAACCAGCCCACAGCAAGCGGAGGAGGCCAGGCAGGATCTGGGATGGCTGGGAACATCCCGCAGGTCCTGTCCCGGCAGAGAGCCCCCAGTCCCCGGGACCCCCTAGGCTCCATTTCCCCACAGGAAGGGTCATGCAGCCCCGACTCCGAGATAGCAATGTCCCTCCCGACCACGGCCCTGAGCGGGTGAGCTTGGCAGAGTGCCAGGCCTCCCACTGGCCACAAAAGCTGGGGAAGCTCGCCGACTCCAGCCACTCTGACTTTGCGGTTGTGGTTTTGGGGCTGGGGTGGGGGCACGCCCCTCGAAACTCCACTCACACTCCCATCAATATGAGGAACCCAGGTTTCTAAGGGAAACGATTGAAGCCCAGAAGTTAGACTCGGCCCCCAGGGAAGGAGCCACGGTTCTGGGAGCCAGAGGCCGCTCACGTGACCACAGGCCCCGGGTGGACTGGACAGGCAGCCAACAGGACAGTAGTGAATGCCTGGGGCTGCTCCCCACACTCACCCAGCCCTGGCCCCCATCAGCCTCAAGGGGCCTGCGCCACTTGCTCATAAGCAAACAGGCTTCGACAAGCACCCACCACATGCCAGGAGCCTCACTGTGCATGGGGAACAACAGCCCTGGCCAGAGGCAGCCCTGAAGCCTCCCTCCCCCCAGCACTACCCCACCACTGCCCCTAGAAGGGCTACATGGTGTCAAGAGGCATGCCCGAGGCATGGTCTCCTCCCAGACCCCCACTCCACAGCTCCAGCCCCCAGACTGCGACACCCAGACTCCTGTGCTGCAATAGAGCTCTGGGTGTCCAGGGCAGGCAGCAGGCCTGGGGGTCCGGGCGAGGGCCTCGTGGGGCTCAGAGAGCCAGTAGGTGCTGGCCAGTGAGTCAAGGGACAGGCAGAGGCCACACCTTCCTGGGTCCTCCTGCTGCCAGCAAGGATGGGGGTGGGGCAGCTATGTTAAAAATAGCACAGCCAGGCCCAGGCCTGAGCCTCCCTCATGCCAGTACCTGGGCCTCTTGCCTGTTTCTGGGAGGCCAGGTGACATGAGAGGGCCGGAGAACAGTGCATCTAAGACAGGGACCCCAGCTCTGCATATACCCCCTGGGGCAGGGGGGAGGCTGGTCAGGAAAGCCAACAGGATTCTCCAGGGAGTGGGGCTCGAGAGGCCAGGGCCAGTCTAAACAGGACAGGTGATGGGCAGTGGGCTAACTCCAGACCCACCAGCAGGCTGGTCCTGGGCCAGGAGCAGGGGGGCTGCCTGGAGGCAGTGTGGCTGAGAAGGCAGAGGGGATCTGGGGGTCCACAGGACATATCTGTGGTTATTCGCCATGTGACTGGACAGGGGGGAATTTGGGGGGCCGTCCTGGGAGGCACCAAAGCTCTCTAGCAGGAGCCTGCAGCTACGGGGGGTCAAACAGCTAAAGCCAAACGGAGACACTCAGAGCAGGATGGAGCACCCTATGTAGGTGGGAAGGACAGACGAAGCCCCCAGATCAGGAGAGCCTGGTTGGAATCCCTGGAGGCTCCCGCCAGCCAGGTGCAAACCCAGTTCCACTCTGCCACACTCACAGGCTGAGATCTGGGAGCTGGGGACAACTGTACAGGGGTTTTGACCAGAGGTACTTATGACACCTTTTTTTTTTTCTTTTTTGAGTTGGAATCTCACTCTTATTGCCCAGTCTGGAGTGCAGTGGCATGCTCACAGCTACCGCAGCCTCGACCTGCTGGCTCAGGCGATCCTTCCATCTCGCCTTCCAAGTAGCTGGAACTACAGACGCATGCCACCATGCCCGGCTAGTTTTTGTGATTTATTGTAGAGACAAGGTCTCACCAAGTTTCCCGGACTGGTCTTGAACCCCCAGGCTCAGGCAATCCTCTAGCCTCAGTTTCCCAAAGTGCTGGGGTTACAGGCTGAGCCACCCCACCCGACCTAGGACATCTTGCCCGAGTGAGAAGGGGTCGCAGACCAGGTCCCCAGGACCCCCCAGAGAAAGACCCCGGATTCTGCCAGGACCTGTGGGATACCAACTGCTTCCTGATCCAGAAACAACCTCCCAAAAGCCAGTCTATACCGCAGAGGCATCTGAGCAGACCCTAACTGCAGAAAAGGCCACCAAACCCTGCATTTGCAGAGCATGAGCTGCCATTACGTGCCACCATGGGGCCCGAGGCCAGGCGTCCCTGAGGAGAGAGGCATATGCCCTGAGCCTGGACACACCTCCCCTGGGGGCCAGGGACACAGAGACCATGGCAAGGGCATAAGCATAGACCCAGGAGCAGGCTCTGTAAGGCCACAGAACTCCCAGAGAGGCAGACTTAAGCCCATGGAAGGCAGAGTCCGCCAGCACAGGAGGGGGCACCATGGAGGGCAGAGGATGCTTGGATGAAGATTCCTGAGGGGTCCAGGCTCCAGAGTCAGCCTGACCTGGGCTGAAGCCCCCTGAGAGGCACATCGTGCTCATTCCCACAGATCAAACAGGGACATGACAGCCCTCACTGCCCAGGGTGCCCTGCGAGGAAGACACCCTGCCGAGGAAGCCCACAACCCCACCCAGGCCCCACCCTCCTGTCCAGACCCCGCCTCCCATGTAAGCCCCACCTTCCAATCCAGGCCACGCCCAGGCCAAGCCCTCCGCTCCAGGCTCCACCCCTCAGCCCAGGCCTCACCCTTTCCCACTGCCCCAGCCTGGCACTCACCTGGGGGCTGCCAGTGCCAAAGCCCAGGGTGGGCGTGGTGGGCACCGACATGGAGTGGGGGCCCATGGGGGAGCTGATGACCGAGAAGGGCGGGCCCATGCCGTTGATGGGGGAGCTCAGGGTGCTGATGGGCGAGTGCAGCGGCCCCGGGGAGCCGAGCGAGGAGCCGATGCCAGGCCCCAGGGAAGGGTGCAGCGAGGGGGCGGCCATGGAGCCCCGGCCCGTTGGGGAGTTGAGGGACGAGGAGTTCACCTGGGTGGAGAAATCTGCAAGACAAAAGCCACAGGGGGCGGTCAGGACCATGCCTCCAGAACCCATGCCAGGAAACCCACCCCACTGCCCGCTCCCTCAGGCCACGGGTGGGTCCACGGAAGGCCCCGGGCACTCTTGCCGTGGCCCCGCCAGCTGACGCAGATTCACGCCTGTGCGAGGCCAGACCAGTGTGCCTGGAGCACCCTTCGAGGCCCCATGACCCCATGTGGCCTTGGTTCTGGTCTGGGCCTGAGGCAGACGCAAGAAAAGTGCACTGAGACGCAAGAAAAGGCGCTCCAACCCTCAACACCCCAGAGGGAGGAATGTCCAGGGGCCAGGACCAGACAGCCCCTCTGCCCATCTCTCCACAGGGGCCAAAGTAAAGGTCTGGAAATAATAATAAAAGCAACAACAGCGGGTATTTTGGACACCTACTAAGTACCAGGAGCGAGCCAGTCCTTAGCTGATGTGAATATGCGGAGTTAGGAGGTGTGTGATAAGCTGATCCCATATTATGGGTGGGGTCGTGGGGCTGCCTATGGCAGGGCACTACTGGCACTATAGGCTGACCCACACCAATGCCTGGTGCGAACCACCAGACCACACTGCCCGGGCCTGCTGGTAGTAGCCAACACACCCCGACTCCAGGCTCTGGAGTCTGTGGGCTCTCACGGAGCCCCAGGGGCAAGAGACATCAGACAGTTGGAAGGGGGTACTTCCCATGTGGGCGGGGAGCTTCAGGGTGGCTCTGTGAAGGGGCCTGGCGTGTGCCAGGCATGGAGAAGGCAGCCCACAGAGGCTGGGGAGAGGCTGGGACCTCCCACACCCCAGCCTTTCATCTCAGAGACTTCAAAGGCCCCCACCCACCCGGGAGGCTCGAGTGGCACAGGCTCTACCAAGCAGGAGGCTCCCAGGTGGTGAGGCCATGGCCCATGGGCCTGATCAGACAACCAGGAAACACCAGAGCCACACAGGCAGCACGGCCAGGAGCCACGGGCACAGACTGCCCTGCCCCCAACCTGCCCCTGACAGGCTGGGTGCTCTGGGCAACTCACTCTCCTTCTCTGGGCCTCAGCCTTCCCCGCTGCAGAATGGGCTTCCAGGCCCTCCCTGCCCTGCCTCATGTCGATCACACACTTCTGGAGTCAAGCAGGACCAAGGGGCACACAGGGCAGCTATGACTTAACCCAGGTGCTCCAGGTCAGGGAACCTACCCTGGCTGCACCCTCGACCCCCTAGAGCTCAGGAGCAGCCGTGTCCTGGGTGCATACTCACTGAGCACCAGGCCGGGATGGGAAGAAGCCCTGTGCAAAGCCTCCCACCAGCAGGTGCGGCTGCACAGAGTCTGGCACGTCAGGCCTTAGGACGCCACACCAGATGACACAGTTGAGACCAGGACCAAAGCTCGTGTTACCTGCGGCTCGGGGGACCCAGACAGTCATATCAACAGAACACGGAGGCTCTGCCACCCTGTGCCAATCCACTGCTCCAGGAGCATTCGCCTATTTCCACCCAGTAGCCAGGGCCTGCTGGGCACACCCTCTGGGGGCCCCTCCCAGGGACAACAGGTGCAAGGGGGAGGCCTGGAGCCCACCTTCCCCAGGTGCCACAGTAGGGTGGGAAGGTTTGGCTGCCACTAGCACCCCATATAACTCGGTGTACAGACGCCACACAAGCCCTGTCTGACTCATTGGAGACCTGGGAATAAACCATTTCACTGAGCTTGAAAATGCAAATTTTGGGAATTCCAGGACCAGATGTTGGCGGCACCTACTGGCAGAGATCAGCACTGCAAACCAGCTCTATCAGTCATTAAACTCCCAGGACTAGGGTGAGGGTGGGGTGAGACTCACGTGCAGATGTCAAACACCTGGAACCTAGGTCTCCGCCCAGGTAAAATCCCCAGGTGAGAAGGGAACAGTGAGAGGTACAAGAAAAGACAGGCAGGAGAGTGTGTCCAAGAGACTGCCAATGTGAGGCAGCAAAACACCTTCATGTCCCGATGTCACTGAATTATTGTGACAGAGTAGAAAACTGAAGCACAGAGAAGGCAAGAAATGAGAACTGCCTAAAGGCATACTCCCAGAAACTGGCAACTATCCCTAGGCTAGACAGTCACTGTCACTCCTGCCAGGGCACTGCTAGGCACAGGGAATGCCCTGGGGCTGCCATCACAGCCCCCTCACCCTAACTTTGACTGTCCCCTGGATGAGGAAATCTGAGCCAACCTCTTCCCTTTCCAAGCCTGACAGGCAGGCCCTCTCAGCAGAGCAGTTCTGCTCACCCTAGCCCATGCAGGTTGGGCCTAGACTAGGCCTGGGCCCTCCTCTCAAGGGCCAACCCAGAGACACACCTGCCGACTTCAAGGCAGAAGGGACAGGAGAGAAGCACTGATTGCACAAGTTGGCTCTGTGGAAACCTCCACCCAAGAAGGGCCAGGGCAACCCTGTGGATATCCAGAGTGAGGCCAGGCCAAGCGGGGAGCCCAAACCTCAAGACCAAACTGAGAAGACGGACCTACCCATCTTCCCAGCCTCTGAGAACAAGATAAGTACTTTAAGACCAGGGGAGAAATTACTCCTGGATTCTCCCAGCTTCGCCACCCCAACATGTTGCTCCCTATAATCAGGGGGACCAGGAGGTGGCAGGAGATTCCGAATTGGAGAAGTGGACTGAGAAGGTTTCTGGAACAGGCTGCCAGACCACCCTGGGGGCCCAGACCCTCTCAGGGGGGAATTCTGGTGCCCCCCACACACACACAACGGGGCGCTCCTGTCAAGGGCACAAAAGAGAGGAAGAGGGGTTTCTCAGTCACTGAACTCCCATTCACACAGCTGCAGCACCCAGCGACCAAGAGAACATGCTAGGCTCCAGCTGGGCCTGCATGACCAGCCTCACCCAAGCTGCTGGGTGGGCGGCCAGCTTGTTTCCCTGGCAGGAAGATGGGGGAGCGCCAAAAGAAAGCTTCAGCCGGAAGGAAGGAAGGAAGGGACCGAGGAAGGAAGGAAGCCTGCCAGCGGCCAGGCTGTACCAGCACTCTCCCAAACTACTGCCCGCACCCGGCCCAAGCCTGAAAACCTCCAAGTCAGACAGAGGAGAAAAATGCCAAGGAGGAGTGGGATGAGGAGCTTCGAAGACAGTCAACAAGACAGGAAGGAGCACCCGCCTCCAACCCATCCAGCCTAAAGGAGTGGGGTCCCAGCCCAGGCTGACCATGCGCCTCCAGGGACTCCTAGGCCCAGAGCGGGTGGCCAGCCCAGCAGTGCCCGCCCCGGCATATCCCCGCTGCCCCCAGGCACCGCTCCCGGGCCCTTCCTGTTTACACGGAATGTCCACAGCAGACACCTTCCCGGAGCCTGGGTGACAATGGGCTGGGTGTGTTTTCTGGAGTCTTCTGGAGAGAGATGCTTTCTGGCCAGGATGGGAATATTAAAAAGAAAACGCCAGAAAAAAGCCTAAATATCCCCCCCGTAGGGAGGCCCATCCACGTGCACCCTAGCTCTGCCTTCCGCCGTTATCCTTCCACACCCTGATAAGCATGATTGGATAAGGCACTGCCCTGCCCAAGTCATACTGGGGACTGCAGGGACTTGTCGCCAGCTGGCCTTACCAGATCCCTCATGCTCATTCCCACCGTGGCTTGGTGGGACTGGCAGGGCAGGGGGCCCCAGGCCACAACGGGGCAGTCTCAGACCCCCCAGGCCCAACCCTGAAGTGGACAGAGGCACAGCCCTCCCTGCACAAGGGGCGGGGGAGGGGCTGGTGGAGGGGCCTCAGGGATTGGGCCTGAGTGACCCAAACGAATCGTCAGAACTGGAGGTGCTAGAACCTGCCAGCTTGGGGCCCACCATCCTGGAACCTCACACCTCTACACCCACCATGCCCCCAGGAACCACGAACAGTCAGGATGACTCAGGACCCTAGGAAAGGAGGGCACAGCCCGGGGAGCTCACAGGTACCACCAGGGACAGAGAGAAGAGCAGAAAGGAGGCCCTGATCCACACGGGGCTGATCCCCCAGCAGCCCCCACACGGGCAAAAGCACCTCACACGGCTGCTGGACCTCAGTCCAGGAAGGCTGCACGGAAGAGGTGGTGGAGAGATCTCTTCCCAGCACAAAACTGCAGATACCTGCAGACCAGAAACAGAAATCACAGGGCAGACATGGAATGCCCCAGAACGCCCAGCGCCCAGGACAGGCGCAGTGTAGCCCCCTGGGTCCCGGGGGGCTGAAAGTTACATCAGTACAGTTGAAACAAAGAGTGAGAACAACAGTCACAATGCACAGGTTCACCCTTAAGGGGTGAGCTCCCCAGCATAGCTGTTAGCAAGCAGAAGCCCAACCGCTGTCAGGAATGGTCCCATGGACACTTGTGCCCCAAGGCTCTTTCAGAAGGGGGAAAAGACAGCCCCATCAACCCAAACTCCTGGCCCGCACGAGTTCCTTCTGAATGCTTGTGGGGACCGATCCTCCTGCCCCCACCCCGGACCCCACAGCAGGAAGCGGGGGAACCCCCATCAACTCCCTTCCGGCCTCTGCCTGGCAGGCGGGGGAGGCAGAGGAGGTGAAAGGAAATGCCAGCCCGACAATGGCGGGGGGGGGGGACAAGACCCTAGGACTCCAGGCCCCTCTTGGACCCCCAGGAAACCCCAGGTCCCAGAGAGGGACCCTCAAGGCTTCCCCACAGCCCTTTGGAATTTGCAGGACCGATCGCGCCAGGATCCACGCAGGCCACTAGTTGGGGCCACGTGTCCGGGGCAAAGAAGATGCCGAGGTCATCCAGTCCGAAGCCCACTGAGTCCAGCAGGAAGGGAGGGATATCCAGAGCAGGCGATCCCCTGGGGCTTCAAGGCAGGGCCTGCAAGATGGCCTGAGGACGGGGCAGGTGCCCAGGAGGAAAGGGGCACACAGGCCCGGGGTAGAGACACCCACCCCCGTCCCTGCACCGCTGAGCTCCCTGCCTGGGGACCCCCCCGGAACAGAAACCGCAGAGCAGGCAGCCGGCAGCC